TAACTAGACTCCTCATAAGTGCGGAACCTCTAATAAAAGTAAGCTTTAATAATTTAAAAAAATCATATCTTGAATACGGTACATTTTCTAACAAAAGCCTTTTAAAACTGTTTGATTGTTCAGTCAATACCCGAGCAAAGTCCAGCATCAAAATGACACCAAATTGAAATCAAGTTTTGATATCAACATTAAACTAAAATCCTAATTTGATTTCAGTTTATGCAATTGACAAATTTTGTTTTCATTTTGCTGTACATTTGCTCTTCAAAAATATGTTGTTGCGTTGAATACTTGTTTTGTTATCAACAGGAAAAATTAATATCAAATTAAGTTTTCAGTTTGCTCTCACAGATAGCAGATATAGTTTTCAATGTGATGTCACAGGAAGATTTTTTTGCTCTCAATTTTGATATTTTAACCTTTAAAACGGCCAAAACGACAGCAACCTAAGCAATCATTATCAGCGAAATCACAACATCAAATTAAGATTTCAATTTGATCTCAGACTTTGCTCGGGATACCGTTCAATATTGACTGAAATTTAGTTCGTAGGTAACTGGTTTAATATTTTTACAATTTTTGTATACTAAAAATTCTGTTAAAGTTACAACATTATCCAAAATTCACACTGAATAAAAATTACTTATATTCTCAGAATTGGGTCGGCCAAATTATGAAATGAAAGTGGTACCGTAAAACAGGATATCTTTGATAATGCGGGTAACATTGATGGTAAAATATAATGACTAAATTTACTCTCTTCACTATCTCCGAATTGGGAACATTGGTTCCATATTGTAGCTTACAGTATTTCCATTGTCATCGTATGTAGTTTTTTTTATGATATGTGTTACATATTTTACAAATATATTAAAAATCGAATTTCTTGTTTTTCGCCTGTTTGAAAAAGTACCAAACCATCACTTATGAAATGTATTTAGGATATAGCCATCGCAAATTTAATGATGTACTCTTATTGCTTATGGTGTTACTGATTATATACTCATTCAAAGTTTCATATTTCTTGAGCTAAATGGTTTGAGATGTTTTTACATTCATCGAGTATTATGAAAGTAACCCCAAAACAAACAAAAAATGATGTCCAGTCACAATACAAAAAAAAAACTAGTGCAAATGCAGTAATTTTCGTTAAACATATTTCTAACGAATTGATTCTGGGATCCTCAGTACTTGTTTAAAAAAAATAATATTTTAAAAACATCAATTGCTGTAAAAAACTGTAGCATATATTTAAAAAAAAACTATCAAAGTTATCCCGTTTTACGTTAGTAGAGCCTTTATTCTATACCCATACGTTTGTGAAAGTTTGGTTGAATATTTTAGAATATGCTTTAAATCAAAAAAAATAGTTATTCATAGCCATCGATTAGGGATCACCCTACAGTATGGGTTGTCGATGTTGTAAGTTTATTTGGAATTTAAGTATAAATATATGGATATGATGAGCCACATAGCAACGAAGTAAGAGTCAAGCCGTTAAGCCGAAGACGAACACGCTGTGGTGGTTTGCTGAAGATGATGTTTTCTTATATTTCACAAAATATAACGGTTTAGTAAAATACTATTAAATAAAATTGATTACCTGTTTCATGAACAGGTTGCACAAGCGGACGAGACGCCTCTGTAATTTCCACAATCGGAAGGGGAATATATTCTATTCGAAGAATACGGATAATTTCTTCCTACGAAAATTAAGATAATTGAATTGAAAAAAAAAACAATATTAGCCTCTCGCCTCCGTTGAGCTCCAAGAGGCAATGAGCATACCAAATAAATATTATGTATGTCGATCTCCTGATCTCCACTAAAATTGTATTTGTATTGTTATGTAGTAACTCATCATATCATATGTGAGAATTATTATCGCTTTAGTTTAAAATAGTCCAAACTGCGAAATGGTCGAAAAGACGAATTGGCTCACCGCGAATCGGTCGACCGCAAAATGGTTAAACGTTTTAAATGTTATACGTTCGATTGTGGAGGAGAAATCACTGCTCATAAAGTTCAAATATGAGGAAGTTATGCCTTGTTGCATAATTGCGAATAATTTATTTTCCATATATGCTGATGGAAAGGCAGTTGCATCTTGCGGGAGCAACGTTCAATACGTGATAATGTACCACCATCTTCCACCAGAAATCCCGGATCGCGCTCTAGCGTTGGTGCTGGAGAAAAACAGGGATGTGAAACTTATCATTCGGGTGAATTTCCCTGCAGACATGGGCCTCAAAATGTACACAATGTGGTAAATGTGGACGTTAAAAAGGAGATTTCCCACTCGCTTCATTTACAATCGAAAGGGAAACATATTTTATCAAGGGAACAAAATCTTGTGACTCCTTTGTAAGATGGCGGAAGGCCCGGAATCGGCAAGTACATGAAGAAGAAAATCAACAACGGAACCAAGAACAGAACATTACCAGAACGTGTTTTATAAAATTATTTACTAGTTCTCGGCTCCGTGGAGTCTTTTTGGACAATTAAGCCTTAATAAATAAACTGATTGAAAAACAATCGCATTTTTACGTAAAATAATAAAAAAAAATCATTCTACGCATCATTTTTCATCAATTAGCTTTTATAAACATGTTTCCTAAGATCATCCGTTCCCAAGTTATTTAGTTTTTTATTTTTAGATGAACATAAGGGTAATCAAAGAGGGTGACGCCTAAGCTTTTTCACATTTATATCGCTGTGATGAAGCAACTGTAAATGTAGAGGAAATTTATATTTGTAACTGTAACCAGTTCGTTTTTGTTTCCTAATCTGGTTAAGATGTTCTACTTAATTATCTTAAAGATAACCGTCCAGCTCAAACCTGTGTATGGGGTAAGAGGTGGGGCCATCATCATCATATATAATGTTGCAGCGCAGGGTGGGGCAGTAAGAGCGCAAGTCAATACAAGACCGATAATAAAAGATAGGTAATGGCTGACTCGTCACTTGCAGACTACATGATCGGTATATGAAGGGAATTTCTATTTTTTTTTTTTTTTCATTTTTTTTAAGAAACCGATGCGCATCTTCAGTAGTCTTATTGTTCCAAAGTATACCTTAAACATCCATCTTGAAGGTGATTTAGAAACAATTAGAATTATTATGCTTTGCTATGTGAGATTCTATAACATTCCCCAGAAAACCATTCCCCCGAAAACCATTCCCCCGAAAACCATTCCCCAGAAAACCATTCCCCAGAAAATTATGCCATGAAATCTTCTTTCGCGTAAATAAAAAGAAGAGAAAAACTTCTTAATGGGTCAAGGGCAGCGAAAAGGCAGTGAAACTAATCAGAGAGTTTTATCATGAAAAATATATCAAATGTGTATATTAAGCTGTTCTGTAATATAAAACTGAAATATAATATCAAATGACCAAAAAAAAAGTGATAAATTACTAATTTCATCATCTTTTCTGGGGAATGGTATATTCTGGGAAATGCTCTTCTGGAGAGTGGGTATGGGAAATGGAATTCTGGAGAATGGAATTCTGGAGAATGGAATTCTGGAGAATGGAATTCTGCGGAATGTAATTCTGGGGAATGGAACTCTGGGGAATGGAATTCTGGGGTATGGTTTCCTGGGAATGGTTTTCTGGGGAATGTTATAGAATCCTATGTGAAATTGTTGATACATAAAATATTGAGGCGTGGATGAGCTGACTAAATTGGGTTATTACTGTATCTATGAACATTACTTCAATGTCCGTTTTCTTAAATAATTGATTTTGACTTCGAAACTATCGTGTTATCCTTGAATTCTGCACATCCGCGTCCTGTTTTCGATATCTAGAATGGTAAACTCTGGCGCCCCGGAATTTAGATTTACAAAATACTTTGAAAAGTTATATGGTTAAGTTAAATTTTATTAATTTTATTATTTATTCAAAAATTATCAACTTTCACACCTTTATCCCATTTGCTAATCATTTCGGTAATTACCAAAATAAATAAGTTAGATGGTACCGTAAAGTCACCATCTACCGCTCGCTGTATAATTATTTTCATATTTTTTTTCTGAACTTGCACATAATTACTGGTATTATTTTATTTTAGTTTATTTATTTTGCGAGACAGCAGGTTAATGATACTACTGGTATTCATTGTAAATATACTACTGGTATTTGTTGTAATTCTTCGTAAATAATGATAATACGTATGCAGTGAGCGGTGAAAGAAGCATGAGCGACCTTACGTTACTATAAAACGTACAAACGTAAAACCTAAAATTTCCCCTATCTGAAGGTAGTGTTAGCATGCATGGGCGAGCTACCAGGTACGCCAAATCGACGATCAAATCCATTGTTTACAAAAGCTGAAACGTCTTTTCGAAAAAGTAATCGAGAAATGAAGTAATTGCAAAAACATCAGTGGATGTAAATTTGTTCACAAAGACTGTGTACATCGTTCAACGTAATATTACAAAACTGATGGAATCTATATTATTCATTCGGAACTACTACATCTAGGTCGCAGCAGTTTCGATGTATCATTCAACAACTTTTTTTTGCTGTGTATATACGCCGCATTTGATGAATCCTATTTTTACCGTATTCATTCTTAAAGACTCAGTCGCGCATGTAAACAAACGATGACGTCAAATATGATGAAGCAAAAATTATTGATGTTAAATTGCTGCACTAGCAATAAACAAGCAGATGTACACATTCGTGCTAGAAAGTGAATAGATTGCACCAAGTACTGGTTGTTTTTTCCAAGAAACGTCAATCGATCATGATCCAGTGCAGATAACGGGAATCCTATCGATCCAGAAGAAAAATTACCAAAAACGCTCTCCATCCGGATGTTGTGCATGTCATTCTTAGTTGAGAAATAATCAATTTCGTCAATGTTCCATTTCCATTGGACTTCCGTGAGAACACAATTTTAAAGTTCCGTTTTAAGATCTAAACCAGTAATATTAAATGAAAGCATCCTCCCACTATTGTCGTAGAGGCCATTATTATGCATCAGAAAAACTCACCCGAACTGCCCCCAAAGAAAAGATTCACTCCGTTTGGGTTGCTCTCCGACGTATTTTCCTCGCCGTTTTCACCACCTTCCGATTCCTCACCAACGGACCGTTGCATTTTCACGCGTCACGAACCCGCCGCGAACCGAAATTACCCGGAAAAACACTCGAATTTTCACTTTTCACACGACGCCCGATCGATAACAAAAAAGTTTATTTTTTTTCACTTTTCGGTTCCCGTTACGATATGACAGTTTACACGCTGTGCTGCCAGTTACATGGGTAAAAGTCGATTGTAAACAACAAAATCTCTGGAGTACCTTTTTAATAGGTCTTATGTAACTAATGCAAACAGATTGAGATTTTAAAACTACACTCCTCAGACTACACTGATACAAAATCCATTGGCAAAAATACTATATTACTTGTTTAAATTTACTGAAATCATAGTGGATTGAATGGTAAAAATCGTGGTTATATTGAAAATAAATGTTTTCTGCAAAATAGTACTCCTAACAATGGTCCATGTTTCAGTATACCTGACACGCCAAGTAGCCAATCGGTGGAAACTAACGATTTTAAATTGGCTCACTACTTGACTTATTCATGTGTGGGACACATAAAAACAATCTTTGAATTTTTATTAGTGTATAACCTTACCATAACCATTATGTGCATAAACAATTAATAAAAAGGATCTTATATAATTCCCTTCTCGAAAATATATGGGAAAAACAAGAATTTTGAAAAGTAATGATTCGTAACAACCCATTATTTGTAATCTCCAGTTCCAAAAAACCATAATTCACATAAGGTTAAAGCTTTATCACTCAAATCTTCATTTAAAGTTCCATAACCATTTCAGTTAAAAATGAACAGAAATTATAAGTCATTTTTAAACATTTTTGAAAAGGTCAAGCACTACACTGAGGCAAATAGACCTAAGAATTTCATAAGGCTCGACTTATGAACAACATATATGAAATTCATTGAATAATGAATGATTTTCGGGTAGCATGAGGTAGTTCTTATACACCTTTAACCATTTCATTTTCACAAGCGTTGAAAGACAAGTGGTCAACATACGGGCCCCCTAACCTCAACGTCCATTTGCCGGTTCCAGTCTGCTCCGATTTATTATTTTTTCGTCAACATTATTTTTCATAACGCAAAACAATGAAATTCACACTAATTTCTTATGGCTAAAATTCACAAGTGTTTCTTATGGAATTCTTACGTTCTTTTGCCTGCGTGTAGAAAACCGGATTTATTTATTTCCTAAATTATTTATCGGCATGTATCAAAAATTGGAAGAAATACGGATTTATTGGTAATTCTGGCAACACTGGCCTGAGGAGCCGCATAAAAAAACATGTCAGTTGACCGTCGACGTGTTTGACAACACTCCGAATTGCTATGGTTGTCAAACGTCAGGATGCATTTTTTATGCAGTTTTTGCAGCGCGCAACAGCTGATCGATTGATGACCTAATTTACAAAATTCAATTTCTGAATAAAAACATGCTCCATTCACGCCGGTTATGAGTCGAAACCAGTGCATTCGTCTAAAATATTTAATGACATCTGAAGGTTTGTCACGTCCAATCAAACTTTCAGAGATAAACGCCGACGTATGTTTACGACAGTCAGCTGTTTTAAGTAAACACTGCTCAAGGACGAGTACAGGGTGCTTCATAACTGCATCGTTCACCGTTTGACTTATCGGGCGCATTTTACTTGACGGTACTTTGAAAACAACATCAAGCGGTTTGCGTCACAACAAAACACTAAACTTTTGCAACATTGCATTTTTTTATCTAATCGATTTCGCAATCGGTTCGCGTTTTCATTAGTGTTTACTTGCAAAAAGGTTTCATCCGTTTCGACGTGCTGGTGCGCCGGTAATTTTTGTTTTAAGTAGAACAGTGCTATCATGAAGATCGACATCCATCCTCTGACGGATGATCCAACGCTGGCGTGGAAAGACATTTCCAAATCCCAGCGAGTAATAAAAATCAACACCAAGCCACCCGGCTCGGATGTTCCGAACAACAAGGTGCGGGTGGTTTGCATGTCCGATACGCACTCCCTTACGCATCATATAAAATTTGACATCCCTGATGGAGACATCTTTATCCACGCGGGAGACTTTACCCGTTGTGGCAAGCTGGACGAAGTCGTTGACTTCAACAATTGGTTGGGTGAGTACCAGACTAGCTTGTCTTCAATTGGGTCAATTTGTAAGTTCGATTTCTCATTGCAGAGAAATTGCCGCACAAGCATAAGCTGGTCATTGCAGGTAATCACGAGCTCAGCTTCGATCATACGTTTACGCACCCATTCCAGAATGCGAGTGCTTGTTGTAAAAAGACCGGCAGTACATTGCTAGACGAAATTCCAACGCTAGGCAACTCCAAAGAAAGCCTGGCGGAAGCGGTAAAAACGGAAAACATTCGACAATATCTTAGTAATTGTGTGTACCTGCAGGACGAGTGTATCGAATTGTATGGTTTGAAAATATACGGCACTCCGTGGCAGCCTGAATTCTGCAAGTGGGCATTCAACCTAAAACGAGGCCAAGATTGTCTGGATAAGTGGGAGAAGATTCCGGAGAACCTGGATATTCTAATCACCCATACGCCTCCCGTTGGTCATGGCGATTTGTGCTGTTCCGGAGTTCGTGCGGGATGTGTGGAACTACTAACGACCGTGCAACAGCGAGTCAAACCGAAGTACCATGTGTTTGGCCACGTACACGAAGGCTACGGCATCACATCGGACGGTAAGGTCATTTTTATCAATGCCTCTACTTGTGACATCAACTATCTACCAAACAACCACCCGATCGTGTTTGATGTTACGCTTCCGAAAGGGCGAACTAAAGATGAGGCGTAAGAGGGACATAGTGTGGTAAAATTTATGATAGCTTAGTTGATAACGCTTAGGACCTAGAAGATAATGATTTACAGTGCATAGATGCCATGACACATTGCGGAAAAGTGGCGTAGATGTAGCTTACACGTTACGGTTACACGAAACTATAATGTTCCAGTGACATCAAACTTATTAATAGGGCTTAGGCTACAATTGAACAGTTCATTCATAAAATCACAACACGACAAAATCATACGACTGGGAGATCAAAACGGACATACCGGTATACTTTTGAGCTGAGTTTTTTTTTTAATTAGCCTACTAAGCTTTTTCAATACAATCAATGTTCATTTGCTGGATGAAGTCAACAACTTTGTTCCGGAAATGTTTAGAAAAACAGCAGAACGGGTTGTACCATTACATAAGAATTAATGGAGTGAATCAAACTTGAAACGTATTTTTCTCGGCTTGCTGAATTGTGCTATGGGACGGGCTAGCCATGAGCGACATAGTACTTCCTGTAAATTTTTTGTGACGTTCTTCAGTTGTGACATTTAGAGAAAGTTGTTGGAATGTTGGGAAATCGCTAAGGTGAATATTTTGTTTCTGGAGTAATAATTTTTGTATACTATTTGAAGAGTTGGAATAAGCGTTTCTGGACAATGGATATATATTTTTTTCGGATTGGTATGATTGTGAAGAATCCTTAGGAGTGCTGGAACTCCAAAAATAATTGTTGTTATAGTTTTCCTAAACACGCGTGGGGAAATTTTTTCAACTAGTTCACATTCTGTCTGACACGAGGTCTAACCAATTCTAAGGATAATTTGATTAATAAAAGAAGCAGGCTTGATGGAGCCTCGCTCGCGAATTCGAAATGAGCAGAGCTTAGCATTTTTTTCTGAGGAGTAGAATGCCTACTGCCAAATCATTCCACTGAGCTTCAGAGTGAAAGGGAATGAAAATAACACACTCCTTTGCTTAAGTCTAGAACAGAACCGTTCAAATCCATGATGTTATATCCTTGTTCGCACATCATCCAACCGCTCACACCTGCTAGTAAGGAAGCACCAGCCTGCAAAGTATTGTATAAGTCACAATACGTATTCCAATCATACTCACACAACACACGGTCTCTAAAGCAACCACATTCACGCAACACTCTCATGGGACCTGAAGTTTTAGTCACACTGTACCCGGTCCCCTTCTTCAATACTTTGTACAGTGCATAGCGCGAGTTCTTTTCCGCTTCCCCTTCAGCGTATGTATTATCACACTGAAAAAGTGCATCCATAAATTTCCCACAAGGTGATGTGTTCCAATCACCGTAACCAGTCAACCAGTTTTCAATAGTTCCCCAGTCTACCCCAAGGTCACGTGTCCTTGCCGAGTCGATTCTGTAGTCTTTAGCTGGAATGTCAAATCGACCGATGCCTTGGCAACCAAAAACGCCGTTGGTGCGCATCATTCCTCCGAGTGGCACAGCAAAAGCTAATTCCTGCGCCATCGATAAAACCATCCCCATGTCACCGACCAGAGCCGTCCGTTTGCACATCTCTTTAACGGCTGTCAGCATCTCATGAGGGTGTGGCGCCTGTGTGTTTTCATCCAAGCCGAGATACCCAAACACTTTGGTTGTAAATTTTTCAATTCTGACTTCAAATTTTAAGTCATCACCTAGGTATGGTACGCTGAATGTCGTGTCTTTATTGTACTCTTGATCCACCACAACAATTGCGATTTTCTTCCATTCACCAGGTACGTATACACAGCTTGCACGCGGCATGGTTCCAACGTTAAATTCGGAAGTTGAGGCCGGGTCACGTCTATCGTCATTAGAAAAGGCATAGAGTTCAGTGACAGCGCAATTCCACCATAGTGTTGTCGTATGAGCGATGAGAAACGACATAAACCAACTCTGTTCTAAGTTGTGACTTTCAATTGCAACTATCTCTGCCTCCAGGATGTTAAAGTCTTTCAGCCTGTTGTTCTGCTTTGGCTTACCACATAAAGCGTCCACATATGTACTAAGCGGTACAATCCTCACGTCACAATCCTTACAATCAGCTGGAATCTGCGCTGTCCCTGCCAACACTCCACGGCGGTCGTAAGGGTGAAGGGTCTTCTTACATTCGCTGGATGTAACACCCAGCCTCAGCCGTTTGATGGTATTTGACGCCACGCCCATGTATCCTTCAGGCATAAATGTGAGGAACATCAATAACATACGTAATATCGGAGCCTCATCACGGGCGAAGTTGGCTAAATCTCCGTGATACTTTGACACCAATTGAGTCATCACACTTAAGTTAACGCTGCCACCAGTTGGTATCAGGTTACGTATCTGCATTGAAGCATCTACAGGGGTCAAGATGGCATTAGACCAAAGTTTTGCTCCACGATCGGACAAGTCAGGGGGGTTTGTTCCTTTGCGCATTGTTGAAGACACAGAAACTACATGTCCAGCAACAGTAACACGTTGCACATTGTGGATTTCCTCTGTTTTCACCAGAAAGTTTCCACCTATACCCAGTCACATAAAGCGGGTCTGCGATGAACTGAGGGCTATACTGATCGCGGATGAAGCCATAGGTTCTTGAGGCTCCAAAGCTTGACCACTTGTAAACTCCGACCGGTGCCACTTCAGGTATGGGTCGGTGCCATATAGACGTAAACGCCAAGGCGCTTGACCCACTGCCACTGCCTTCGCGTGTGCTATCATCTTGCCCCACGTGTTTCTGGTTCCGTGTGACATCAGCTTCTGAACCTGATGACTCTCCTTTCCATGAACCGAGCATCCTACTATCCGATGTTTTGGATTGGTCTTTTTGAATAGGTTGTTTTTGGGTGCTTGCTTGTCCTGCTTTAGTGGTGTTCGCTTCCCCTATTTCTGGTTGTCCTGGTTTAAGGGCATTCACTTCTCCTAATTTTGATTGTATTTGGTCGTGTGCTACAATCAGTGTTCCAGAGGCGGCGCGCTCTACTCTGGATCCACTGTCTCCTCCGGTGTTGCTTGTCGGCACCGTTGTCGTAATTTCGCAGGGAATGTCAACTAAGACAAACCCGTCAAGTTCAGGGCTAGTTTCGACTTCCGATGCAGAGCTCATTTAAAACCCTCAAAACAGATTAACAAGTCGTCAAGTGTATGTCTACCTTGCTCAGTGGTCCACCGTAAGTGTGTAATCATTGATTGGCAACTCACTTGATTTCTTGAATTAAACTTTTTCGAAATTTCTTTAATTTTGATGCTCTCGACTTCTGGTATTCTATTGGGCCAGTTCCCAATTTTATTCGTCATTTTCTTTAAATAATACCCTACGACACTCATTCTCGCACTTGTCAATAATCCTCTCTCTCTCGTAATTCATTCGCTGCCGTCGCGGGGAACCGCGCGTTTAATTTTCGATCAGAACATTAACCTATGGGCTAATGTTCTGTTGCTGACGTTTGTTGTTTTTTTCTGTCTTTATTTTCGCGGTGGAGCGATTGGATTTACTTAGGGGCGCTTCAAGAGCTTGTGAGCGAAGGGGGATAAAATGAGAGTGAGGTTTGCTGCCTTTCATGTACATTTTTTCTAACACTCTTGGTGAACTCTGAGCTTCTTGCGTCGAACAAAAAAGTCATCCGAAGTCTCGAAAAGCGCTCCTCACGTCAAATCATCCTCTCGCTGAAGTTCATATTCCTGCCGCCACTCACTTGAGGTGAGGGCTGGTTAAACTCGCAGGACAAGAGTGTTTAAACCCCCCAGTGATTTTGAGGAGTTTCAGCAAGCCTGAAAGGAAGATCCATAAATGACGTAGCATTTTAGGTTGACCAGCCATGTAGAAAAATGCGTTTAAAGGCGGAGGGGGTAGGGGGACTCTATTCATGTCAACCAATGGGCAAACTGACGGAGGTATGACAGGACAAAACAGCTTACTCTTTCACACTTGCATCGCAGTGTGGAATGCTAGAAAGAGTAGTCTGTTGCAGCCATCCTCACCCACTATATTAATCACATTGATGTGAGCTTTGCCGAAATTCGTGATTGTTGTTCCCGCGGGAGAGGGTTCAATGTTGGCACTTTATCAAACGTAAACAAACGTTTAATGGTTGTTTACGTTTAATGAAACAACAAATTTTGTCTATAGTCGCTATATTTATAGTCTGGCGGAAGAATCTCCAGAATCAATAATTCAAGCTTAACATTGCATTAGGTCCTAAGTAACATTGACAGATTCTCTTCGTCGAGGTATTTTAAGCACACATATCGATAAAAGAAGCTTTAAACTAGCATCTAATACGACAAACACAACAAGAAACGGTTATGTGCTCAACTTATTTACGAAAAAGAAATTCGACGAAGAGAATCGATCAATGTTACTTAGGACCTAATGCAATGTTCAGCTTGAATTGAGCTGTCAAATAACGGAACCATCAAGCATATCACGACCAACAACAGAAAAGAGCACATCAGCTTTTGCGAATAAAACTTCGAAAACCCTTTTCTCGTGACTCAAAACTCGCCTACGCAAACCAACACCATCATTGGGTTGGGGAAAGATTCCCCTATCCAATGATGGTGTTAATTTGCGTTCGGTTGGCGAATAAAAATCTATCAAAGTTGGGTTTATAAAAGTTGATAGTATCTTTTCAATTTTTGGTCTACAATACATTGACTTCCCTAATAAAAATTGTATGGTTAATTTGCTTAACGACGTGTTCTGGGTATCATCCAAACCATTTGTGGAATAGTTCAATGATTTGGGTTATCGTTCGTTTAAGGTTATTTTTTGTTAGGGTTGGTTCCGCTTTTTGATAGCTCGAAATTCCATCCGCCAGACTATAAATATAGCGACTATACTTGATCCCCCTTCCTCTTTTATAGCGTATTTGTCTACATGGCAGGTCACCTTAAAATGCTGCGTCATGTATGGATCTTCCCTAAAGGCATTTATTGGCTTAAGTGTCATCGATATGAATTCCAAGTCGTCAGTGTCAGCCGATTGCATGGTTGCAATATCGGTTTCTGCCGAGGTTTCTGCTGAGTCCTCGTCTGCTTCATCAATATTAGGTCTGTTCCCGTACTTGCTTTTTTGCTTTTGCTGTAAGAAAATAATATGCTGCAGAAAGTACCGGAACACACTTTTTGCTTATTCTGTACAGAATCTTACATAAAATAAAAGCAACTACAGGAACAAACGGCGCCGGTGGTGTAGTGGTAAGCGTGATTACCTCTCACCCCAGCAGGCCTGGGTTCAATCCCAGTCGGCGCCGCCGGGATGTTCTGAGGCATAACATCTCTGATCACGCCTTCCTTCGGATGGGAAGTAAAGCCGTTGGTCCCCGGTTCATGAGTTGATGGATCGATAGGTAGGGTCCAGGTGTGGGAGCTGCCTTCCTGGCACGTCGGTAGTATTGGTGCTCAGCACGGAAAACAAGATCGACGGAAAAAACAAACCAAAGGAAAAAAACTACAGGAACAGACCTATTGACTTCATGATGGATTCGTGATAGGGAGTCCGCCACAGTGTTTTGCTTCCCTGGTCTATACTTTATCTCATAGTCAATTTAACTCATAAGTTAAACTGTATAAAGTGTAAACTGTCGACCAATTAGATAGGGGCGTAAATATTTGCAGCCCCATACGATTGCTAATAGTTAGATTTCCGATCTTATGTTCGCGAGACAAACGCAATTGACTTATCTTGGACAATTGGTTCTTGCGGTAGTACGGCTCCAATCGCATGCGTTTGTAGTAAAGATGAAATTTTTGCCAAAATCTGGGTATTGTAGCTACTTGTTCATATGTTTTTTAGCATTTTTCGAATGCCTGAATAAATTCTTTTGTATGACTAATACTTTCACCTTTTCTTAAACATTGCGTAAGAGGTTTTGCAATTCTTGTGAAATACCTTATAAATTTCCTGTAATACAGGTATAGCTCGATATAACGTAACTGTCACTTTTGACTTCCATCGTCGATATATCACAAATTGGCATAACGAACAGATGGAGAATAATTGTCTCATATTTCCGATTGCTTGATTTAATGATTGTTAGCTAGAAATCAACGATGGAAGCCAAAAGTGACAGTTACGTTATATCGAGGTATACCTGTACCCTAAAACGCCAACAAAACCACGAAGTTCCTTTTTGTTTTTGGGCAATGGCCAGTTTTAAATTTTGTATTTCAATTTTGTATGGGTTGGGTTTAACACCCTCTGCGGTTACAATTTGTCCTAGAAAAGTGACATTTTGAATTGCTCCAACCTTTCAAAAATGTTACACAAGTTTTCCAAGTACTCTTGTAAACTTGTTGAGAATATAATAATGTCATCCATATATACACGAGGCTATATTGGCACCATATCCAATATAGACTCGAAGGACATTGTCCATCAAACGTTGGAAAGTGGATGGAGCGTTCCTACGCCCAAACGGCATTCTAAGGATGTCATAATGTCCATGATCCACCATGTTACGATTGTTATTGAAATTTGCAAAACGCTTAATCCTGACAAGTTAAAATTTAACACTTGCGAATTTGGGTAAAAAGAAGAAATAAATCACACGTTTTATGCAATGTAAATTTTAATGCACAAATTGAACAGAAAATACGTTTGGCATTAGACACTATAAATATTTAAATCACACACTTATTGAGAAGGACAACGAAAATCTCCAGTTTTAGTTCACTACCCAAGAACCATCAAGTTCAATAATGCAAAAAGTGCAATATAATACTGAGATATTAAGGCTAATATAAAAATTTAAAGTCATATGTTGCAAAAAAGGCCCTTATCTCACTATTAACAGGCTCGGTGGTTACTTGAGAAGCATCTCTCAAGCAATATTTTCTTGATTATTTCACTATGTTATCGGTATTTTCATTCAAAGTTTTCTCTTTTTCTGGGTTTCACTTAAAACAATGCTAAAGTTACTTACATTTGATTCATGGCCTTTCCAATAATCCGTTGTTTGTGTCCAGTACTGTTGCGATATCGTCTCGCTGTTTGAAGATTCCAATCACGTTAAATTGCTCTCCTTTCTGGTGATCTGTCAGATGAATCCGAAATTATTGTGATATCTTCTAGTTTGCTGATGACTCCGAATGGTTCTCCGTAGCTGTTGTTCTCAAATGCTTTATGATGCACCAAGAAAGATAATCCGTCGGGATTCTTTGGTGGTTTCAACACTCGTTAACTAACTAGTAGAATTTTTTTTACCGTGGGTATTTTTTCCTGGAAAGGAATTATGTTCCTACAACTTTGTCTCAGACGTCTCTGTCTCGATTGGGGAAGTGACGATTTCAAGTTATGTTGTTGAAAAATTTCGAATTTGCCAATTTTAAAGTCTTTTTTGCGAGTCATTTTGACCGAATTTTAGCTCATATAATTGACCATAACTAATTTTTATGCAAATCGGAGATGGTCGTATCAGATCGATTCGTTATTCGGCGTGGAACTGCTCAGTCGCCTTGTGTTCTAATTTTAAATTTATCATGTTTTCATTCCAAACTCCAATTCTTTCCAAACAAATTAATGTTGTTTGATAATGCGAACGAGTATTTATGCGAAAGAAGTTCTACAAACAAAGTTCAGATCGGAATTGAAATCTAGGAGCTCTAGTACCAATACTGGCTTTTTATACTATCAATCATGAAATTAATCCATGAAAAAACTTTTAACTCTAGTGCATTATCCTACGAAGAAGGTAGAAAACAAAATTTCTGCTTCGTATGATGTTTCGTTTTGTATAATGTTTCCAAATCCCACTCGCGTTATCCATGACTAATAGAATGTTGGTGCTTCAGCTTTAGTAATGAACGTTCTTGAAAATTATTTATTACTTATTTATACATGGTTGTTAAAATGTATGCCATTTGATTACCAATCATAAGCTTGAAACTATTGCATCTATGGTAATATTTAACACAAACAGGTTGATAGAGTATTGACAGATTTGAGAACGAACAACAATTCATTTTTTCCCATAATTATATATACCACCCCATAAAAGCATAACAGTTACATCTTTGCTTAATTTTCTGTTATGCGTTTATGGGAAGTATACCTATGCCGTAATTGTATTGAAAATCAGCTGGAAACGGTAGTTATTTACAGTTTAACATACACAAAAATGAAAAAAAAAAAACAATTAGTTTGTGCACATTTTTAACCCAGCTTAATCTAGTCATTTAGAACTGAATAAGATTTTCTCCACTCACAGATCAACCGCTCAAAAAAGGTATTATGTCGCCACTATGTACATATTAAAACTATTACAGGACAATTATGATAATCTTTATTCGATTTCTATTGTAACTTTTTATTTAGATTTAGCTAACAAAATACACGAAAAATTTAAATTATACAGAAAACACTCGAAACTAACGCTCTTAATATTCATAATCCGAACCCACCTCGTCGGGATCTTGCGTGTCGCCAGCGACTTCTTCGTAGTCCTTCTCCAGAATGGCCATATCTTCTCTTGCCTCGCTAAACTCGCCCTCCTCCATCCCCTCGCCAACGTACCAATGCACAAAAGCCCGTTTCCTGTACATCAGATCGAACTGTTGGTTAACTCGGGCCCATGCTTCAGACATGGCGGTCGTATTCGAAAGCATACAAACCGCTCGCTTAGGTTTCGCCAAATCACCTCCCGGGAGTACGCTTGGAGCTTGCTGATTGATTCCTATCTTGAACCCAGTCGGACACCAATCGACGAACGTAATGTGCCGTTTGCTTTTGATGGATGCGATCGCACTATTGATGTCTTTAGGAACCACGTCTCCTCGATAGAGCATACAACAGGCCATGTACTTCCCGTGGCGAGGATCACACTTGACCATCATGTTCGAAGGTTCAAAACAAGCATTGGTGATTTCCGCCACCGATGAGTACTCGTGCTGCGCTTTAGACGCTGAAAGTAGTGGCGCATAGGACACCAACGGATAGTGAATCCTCGGATATGGCACAAGATTTGTCTGGAACTCGTTCAGGTCCACGTTCATTGTACCTTTGAAGCGCAGCGATGCAGTAGCCGAAGAAACGACCTGAGCTACCAGCGTGTTCAAATGAATGTAATCCGGTCGTCCAATTTGTAAATTTTTCGAACAGATATCGTACGTTGCTTCGTTGTCCATGATAAAGCAGCAATCGGAGTTTGCCATTGTAGTACTTGTTGAAATGACACAGTTGTACGGCTCTACCACGGCAGTCGAAATTCTAGGAGAAGGATAGACTGCGAACTCCAACTTGCATTTCTTTCCGTACTCGGAGGCCAATCGTTGCATTAACAATGCGGTAAATCCCGAACCAGTGCCCCCACCGAATGAGTGAAATACCAGAAATCCCTGCAGTCCATCGCATTGTTCAGCCTGCTTCTGAATAGACGTACACACTTGTTCGATAATCTGTTTCCCTACGGTGTAATGACCTCTAGCATAGTTGTTGGCAGCGTCCTCTTTACCAGTAATCATGTGCAGCGGATGATACAGGTACTTGTACGGTCCGTTTTTCACATCGGCTATGACCGAATCTTCCAAATCGACAAAAATGTTACGAGGTACCACTCTACCGGAAACTGTATTGTGAAAGAACGCTGCCATGTTCTCATCGATCGGAATCTTTTCGCTAACGGTTCCATCTGCCTGGATACCGTGCTCTAGGGTAAAAAGCTGCCAACATGCATTTCCAATTTGGCATCCCGCCTGTCCAACGTTGATGGATAGAACTTCACGCTGAAACGGAAGTGTTAGATTTTTGTTGTATTACCAATGGAAAAGTGATCAGGATGTTGGAAATAGTTATAAGACAGAAAACAGCAACAAGATCCGATAAATAGACCCATTCAATAATTACTTAAGTATTTCAGGTGGAAAGTGTAAAGTCGATGTAAAGTCTTGCTAAAGGGGGCGGGGTATTTCGTTTTACATTACTTAATAAGAGTCTAAGGAGGGGTGTTTGAAAGTGCCCAAAAAATTGCTTACGTATTTACTGAATGATCCTCTCTTTTTATTTGTTCCAAATTCAAAATAAATTACATTTCATTTTAACCTAGGTGCTCCAGCTACTACAGTAACTTCCTTAATTGATATGATATATATCTAAGTGTTTTTACATTGTTCTAGCCTTGGCAATTCAGTATTTTAGTAGTCTGAGCTTTTTCCAAATTTGTGATCAAAATTGTTGTGAGTATCCAAAAGTGTTTGGAACTCTGGTCTAATTTCAAAACATTATTTTCAATAGTTTTGTTCCTCATGCCAGAGAATCACTTTTTAATTTGTTTTCGCAAATCCCTCCAGATAAATTTCATGACTGGATCGCGTGTTCTTTGATGTTGCCTCCTACCGAAGACAACAAATCAAGAAGACTGGCAACTTTGCCAGAATCCAAGCGACAGATACAGTAGCGCTGCGCTTGAGTGAAGGAGGAAGCACCGCATAGAAAAATGAAAGAAATGAGCAAATACACAAACCCTTCGTCTGAGGATGTAATCTTTGCTATCAAATTCGTTCGAAGCATTTACCTTTGAGTGGCAGATGACGAGATTGTACCTGTCTCATAGCGTTCGTATGAGAAAATGGAAGAGTTGGCAGTCTTCTTGATTTGTTGTCTTCGCTCCTACGGACATTTTACAGACGGATCAAGAGCTGAAGATCGTCGTCTATTATAATTGAAACGAATTTAACCTTGCATTTTGGTACTGAGGCAGCTTTTGCTTCAACTATAGAAGTAGTCAGAGATTCAAGAGCATAATTAATTTCATCTTTGGTTTGCAAAGGAATGTTTGGATCGAAGTTATATTCCATAAATGATCGATATTGCTCCCAATCAGCTCTATGGTAATTGAAGTAGAGCTGTTGGGATTAGAAATTAATTCTTTCTTTTTTTCCTTGATTTGTTTTCCGTCGATTTTGTTTTCCGAGCTGACCATCAATGCTACCGACGCCAGGGAGGCAGCTCCCACACCTGGACCCAACCTATCGAATCATCCACTCATGAACCGTTATGTTATGCCTCAGAACATCCCGGCGGCGCCGACTGGGATTGAACCCAGGCCTGCTGGGGTGAGAGGTAACCGCGCTTACCACTACACCACCGGCGGCGCTATAGAAATTATTTCTTGGGATACTTCAAAAGTTACTGGAAGGTGATCAGAACCGAAGTCAGCATGGCTAACCAATTGACTACCAAGTTGACATGAATCAGTTAAGAGTTAAGACCAAATCGATAGTTGAGGGATTTCCTGCTGAAGAAAAACATGCTGGGCTGCTTGGATATTGAAAAGTGTAATAACCTGCAGATCAATCATCAAACAGAATATTACCATTGGAATTTGGTTCTTTAAGGATATTTGGGTAAATGCATATTTTTTTTTTTTTGTAAAATTGAGTTTATTTGGCTGATTGTGTTAAAAACTAATTACTGCAATTATTTACGTAGCAACTTGTAAATGAAAAACTAACTCGCCAACGTCTACAGCGTTATCACAACCTATGATAAAGGTGACGTAATTAATAAAATATTTTAGAATTTCAATTTTTTGTCTTCTGCCTATGTTATTTAAAACTGGATGTATGAGGTCCTCAAAAGAGAGCCTCCTCCGACCGTTAAGGATTGTTGATATCGTTCTCTGCAGGTGCGACCACGCCGGCGTCACTTGTGGACATTCACATAATTTGTGCTTCAATGTTTCTATTGCTCCATTACAGTGTAGGCACTGCTCGTTGTTTACTCGTCGAATAGTGTACCATAACAGTCTGTGCTCTATCTTTTCGTTAACGAGTAAATACCAGCTACTACGCTGGGCTGAAGAGAGTCTTCTGCTTCCGATGTTAAGCCACACGCGCTTCCAATTCACTGCAGGATAGCGCAATTCCACTCTCGGTTGATCTGTTTGGTCAAGGAAAAAGCGGTGTATTTGATCGGAGGAAGGGTTTTGTTGGATTTGTTGAGGCAAGCGAGGGTTTGCTTGCAGGATTGTTTTTAGGCAGGGGAGATCAGCGGGGGGATTGTTGGGATTTGTGTGGGTAAGAAAGGAATTATAAAAGGGAATGGAGCCGATCTCCTGGAGATGCCGATTGATCAGCAGCGCTTTTGCTTTGAGAGCCGGCAGTTGTAGTTTCAGTCCTCCTTGATCTCGTGTCCTAGATAATTGTTGCATTGCACAGTGGTCCAGAATGCAGATTTAGGTGGAATGATATGTTTTGAGCCTCAAATTGAAACTTTAGACTAAAAGTCTCTTCTACAAAGTTGTTCTTTATAGTTAGGCCCTCATTTTTATGACAATGAATTCTAGGGTGATTCCTATTATCATTAAAATCAAAAATCTAACTTTTTTGTTTGAATAAATTAAGGTATACATTCTTTGTCAAAGTTATAGCTGAGCAAATTTCAAGCAACTTTGTTGAATATAACTTTTTTGTATCTCTTAAATTGGCCGATTTAGAGCTATTTTCTTGAATTGAGTTAGGATGGCTCTTGAAAAAACAGTTTTTTTGTTCTAGTTTTCTTATTTCAAATTTCTCAGCAAAGGTGTCTTGAGATAACTTTTAGATCTTAAGAAGGCGCAAGTTTTTGCTACACAAAGCTTGTCAATATCTTTCGCCGATAAAGAGTTATTGACGTTTTTATACTAAAAATATGCACTTTTCAAATGTTAATATCTCTGGTTGGGGCAAACAAAAAAAAGTTTTTTTACGGCATTTGAAAGGGCGTATGTAATTCTCAATATTATGACAAAATTGGAGGTATGTTATTTTTTAAACTCGTAAATTCAATTTGAATTTAGTCATATTTTTTACTATATTTGGGTATATCTTTTTTATTAGAAGAGATACAGACAACTAATTCAGGTATAAAACATTCGTCTAAAAGAGTTTTAAAATTCTCTAGAAGATAACTTTCATGAGAAATTTTAAATAAAAAAGTTATTACTAAAAAACTATTTTTTCCAGGAACACCCTAAGTCAACTCCGAAAAAATACTCTAAAATGAGAACGATAAGAGATAGAAAAAAAATTTCTTGGACAAAGTTGCTTGCAATTTTCAAACTTTTTCAAACAATACATGTTTTTAATTTGCTAAACAAAAAAGTTAGTTTAAAAAATTCCCTAATTTGAGGACCACCCTGACGTTTGCAAACACCAAAAGAAGGGAATTTTTAAGAACAAAAACTTCTTCGAAGACACTAAATGTCCAAATATTGAAACAAATGTACTAGCACATTTTATATAAATTTGTCATTAGAGTGGTCCTATGAAATCCATTTTTTGGCAATAACTTTTTTATTTGAAATTTCTCATGAAAGTTATCTTCTAGAGAATTTTAAAACTCTTTTAGACAAATGTTTTATACTGGAATTTGTTGCCTGTATCTCTTCTAATAAAAAAGATATACCCAAATATAGTAAAAAATATGACTAAATTCAAATTGATTTTATACGAGTTTCAGAAATAACATACCTTCAATTTTGTCATATTATTGAGAATAACTTACGCCCTTTCAAATGCCGTAAAAAAAACTTTTTTTTTGTTTGCCCCAACCAGAGATATTAACATTTGAAAAGTGCATATTTTTAGTATAAAAACGTCAATAACTCTTGATCGGCGAAAGATATTGACAAGCTTTGTGCAGCAAAAACTTGCGCCTTCTTAAGATCTAAAAGTTATCTCAAGACACCTTTGCTGAGAAATTTGAAATAAGAAAACTAGAACAAAAAAACTGTTTTTTCAAGAGCCACCCTAACTCAATTCAAGAAAATAGCTCTAAATCGGCCAATTTAAGATATACAAAAAAGTTATTTTCAACAAAGTTGCTTGAAATTTGCTCAGCTATAACTTTGTCAAAGAATGTATACCTTAATTTATTCAAACAAAAAAGTTAGATTTTTGATTTTAATGATAATAGGAATCACCCTAGAATTCATTGTCATAAAAATGAGGGCCTAACTACAAGAAATAACTTTGTACAAGAGACTTTTAGTCTAAAGTTTCAGTTTCAGGCTCAAAACATATCATTCCACCTAAATCTGCATTCTGGACCACTGTGCATTGGCACACGCGCTGGATGCCTTCTCCACAAAAATGTCCCCATGGTAGCTGTTATTTTGGCCGTATGGACACAGTATAGTGGCAATACGGACGAAAGATACCAAACCTTGGCCGTGATGAAGGTGTTGAGAAGGATCACCTTTTGGTGAAGAGTAAGTGTACGCAACGAATGCAGCCACACCTGTTGCGACATTTTGCCTATCAGCATATCCCAGTTAAGTGTGATCATGTGCCGTATAGAATTGGCAAAAATCACACCCAGAATTTTTATCTGATTTTCGGTCCTCATCCAATTCGCTTGAATCGGGTTTCCATTAACGAAACCGACATCCATGGACGTTGTTTTGTGTAGGTTAAGTACGGCTCCAGACACACGCCCGAAGCGATGGAATAGGTCTCGCATTGTTTCGATCTTGCTTGCCGATGTAGTGATGACGCTAATATCATCTGCATATGCCACGATCAAGTCGGAACCACACACTCGCTCGAGGGAATCTACCAGTGGATGTAAATACAACACAAACAAATGCATCGATATTGGGTCTCCTTGTCTCACCGACCGCTGGATGGGAAACGATGCCGTAAGGTTCCCATTTATCAACAGGCGGGAAGAGAAAAGAGTTGCAATCCGGGACAGCAAATTCACGAGTTGACTGTTTATGCCGAGGTTGCGCATATTCTCAAAG